GGATCCCGTGAGCCCAGGAGTTTGAGACTAGTTTTGGCAACACAGTGAGACTTTATCTCTATAAAAGAAGAAGGAGAAGGAGAAGGAGAAGGAGAAGGAGAAGGAGAAGAAGAAAAAGAAGGATGAGGAGGAGGAGGAGAAGAAGAAGAAATGACAGAGGAGGAGGAGGAGGAAGAGGAGGAGGAGAAGGAGGAGGAGGAAAAAATAATCACAAGGAAACAGGCTGATCATGTCTATTATTTGTTTGTTTGTTTGTTTGTTTGAGTCAGGGTCTCATTCTGTCACCCAGGCTGGAGTGTAGTGGCACAATCATAACTGACTGCAGCCTCAACTCCCAGGCTCAAGAGATCCTTCCACCTCACCCTCTCCGTTAGCTGGGACTGCAGGTGTGCACCACCATGCCCAGCTGATTTTTTTATTTTTCTATAGAGAAGGAGTCGTGCTATGTCACTCAGGCTGGTCTGGAACTCCTGAGCTAAAGAGTTCCTTCTTCCTTGGCCTCCCAAAGTGTCGGGATTCCAGGAGTGAGCCACCATGCCCAGCGCAAGCTGACCGCTTCTAAAAGTGTTCTCCACTCAAGCAGCTCATTCACTTAACAATGTAACTGATTCCCACACACCCTCTCCCAAATCCCTTCTATGTCTTTGCAGAACCAGCTCTCTTAAGGAAATACTCCCCAGGCATATTTACAATGCCAATTTTCAGTAAAATTGCGATGCTTGTAAAAAACCAAAAAGGTAGGATTCTGTGATGTCGCTGAAAGTGACCTTGGAGGACATCTGCTGGGGGCCAGGCAAGACCATCGCAGTGGAGATCGGGCAGTTCACCCTGAAAGAGAAGCCGGCCGAGGAGACAAGACAGGGGCTTCCCAAGGGGACGAGCGGACCTCAGAGAAGGATGAAAAGGAGCTCAGTTGCTTTTGCAGAGTGACCCCCTTCTACGTCATTCTATAGCGGCCACTGTGGAATCAAGGATGTTGCATCAGCCAATCCTACGATTTTATCGAAAAATTGTCCATAAAATAGCCAACACTTGATTTTCTCTTTGTTGAATTCATGTGGAGTTACAAGTGTGTCCTAAATCTTGCTAGCAATCATGTGACGTCTGTGCACTTTTAAGGAAGGTTCTTTTCTTTTGCTTTCTCTTCTCCTCCCCACAGCACAGGCACAGACAGCCTGGGTTCCACTGGCCTGTTTCCCACGGATGGCCAGCAGCACGCCTCTCTCTGGTGCCCGTTACTGTCACGGTGAGGCCGTCTTTGATCTGCAGGTCACTGGGTCCTGCCTGGGCCAAACACCTTCCTCTCTTCCCTTGGAGAAACATCTAAGTCACACAGCAAGACACGAATTTACCCACAGGAGCCACAGGCCAAGCAAAGAGAAAGCCAAGTGAGCCACACGGGGAGAAGGTTCTGGCATCCTCTTCCGGACCCACGGACCCCACAGCAGCCCCTCCCACCCCAGTGGCCAGGCCGGATGCAGCCACCCACTGCCTGCCTGCGGTGTGAAACCTCATCAGAGTGTACCCTTAAAGAGGGAGGGTTCCTTTCACTTGAGCTGTAACTGTCCTTTGCTGCTCAAAGGCCTTCTAAGTATTATCATTTACCAGGCAGAGCTGAGAACTCTAGCTCCCCAGGTTTCCCCAGGCTTTCTAGACCTTTCCTTCTGGCTGGCAGACCAGCCGGTTCTTTCGAGCTCACCCCGTTCTTGTAATCCTTTGATAAATGCAGCCACAACGACCCACGCAGGAGTGGCATTCTGTGTTCTCAGCTCTTCCCCCAGGGATACAGGATCTGGGACAGTCTTACCAAATACATAATAACTGCCTTTCTCACCGCTGAGAACTTTCCTTCCACCCACCCCGAGCAATAAACCAAGGCCGCAGAGCTGTGCTTCTGTTCCGAGGTTTCTGGGTCAACCAGGAAAGACCAATTATGCTGCCCGAACAGGCCACCACCCCACGTGTCAGTGACTTCACACAACGCAGCTCACTTCTCGTTCACACCGCAGGCCACTGCTCGTCAGCTGGTGACTCAGCTCTGGGCTTCGTCACTCTGAGACTCAGTCGGGAGCAGCAGCCCCTGCCTGGAACGTCAGAGGTCACGGTGGGAGAAGAGACAGAGAATGCAGGGAAGGGCAGCAGGTGCTTCAAACTTCTTCCTCCGACTCAGGGAAGTCACTCGGCCACACCTGACAGAGGGGGCTCGTGGAGGGCCCACCCCACCACCTGCCACCCGACCTGTTCCCAGAGGAGAGGCGAACCAGGATGCCTATCAGTCTCCTAGTTACCACCCCATTCTGTGCTGTGTGGAAACACTGCCAGGTGCATAGATAGGTTTTTGGCTAAAACAGCTTAAGGCTTCCTTTTTCGCTCCAACGTATGTATTTAACCTATCAATTTTCCTTTACACACTGATTTGGCTGGATGCAATACATTTGATAAACCCATTATTTCATTAGGGGTTACAAAATGGTGAGTTTCTAGTTTTATGATTTCTTCTTTGTTTATTAACTGGAATACTTCCTCTAATTTTTTGGTGACCATAAGATAGAGTTTGTATATCAGAGACAGAATAAGTGCCTGATTCTTTTCCTTTATTCACTCATGTTCAAAATAATGAATTGATTCCAGAGTCCTCTAAAGGCAGCTACGTTTTACGTTTTGTAGAATGTCTCTATTATTATTTGTGTGTGATTCCTCACTTGTTTAAATGTATTTGATGTGCATCAGTTCATTTAAGAAATTGGGTCAGATTGTCCCACGTCTGTCTACTGAGAGTTTCTGCAGGTTTGACTCTTTAGCTTTTTTATTATTTTCAGACAGTCTTTTTCTTGCTGCTCAGGCTGGAGTGCGATGGCGCCATCCCGGTGCAATGCAAACTCTGCCTCCCAGGGTCAAGGGATTCTCCTGCCTCAGCCTCCCAAGTAGCTGATCTCAAACTCCTGACCTCAGGTGATCCACCTGTCTCGGCTTCCCATAGTGTTGGGATGGCAGGTGTGAGCCACCTCTGGGGGCCAGGTGGGTCTCGAACTCCTAAGCTCAAGAGTGCCCAGCCGACTCTTTAGGTCTTTGGATGTGACCTCACTAGTCTTAGTCATCATCTCCGCTCTCTGGGATAACAAGGTGTTCTCGATTTATCTTGTTCACTTCCAGCCCATTTCACCAGAGAGGCCAAGTTCCGTGTAGACACAATAAATGGCACATGAAGACAATGGCCATGGTGCTAGGAGTGCTCACTGCCCCAGGATGGCTCATTATTTCTAGCTCTTCCAATGCAGGAGGAAACGATTTTTATTTGGATAAAATAAATCATGATTTCCTAATGATGTGTCTAGTTCAAATTCAGGATGACAAGGTTTTTACTTAACCTCAGCACTTCCACACCAAAAAGTTATTTTTGATCCCAACCTAATTACGTGTTAGCTTTTTCCATACAACCTTCACAGCAGGATAACAACGCCACACTACCACCACCACTGTGACTGCTAGAAACAGCGCAGGATTTTCATTTTTGTGTTCTCTCTATGCTTAGGACATATCCCACCAATGAATTCCTGTGTTTCCAAAGAACTTGAAGTAATTCAACTCTATTAATATTGCTTCTTTTTTTCAGATGGAGTTTTGCTCTGTTGCCCAAGATGGAGTGCAGTGGTGTAATCTTGGCTCACTGCAACCTCCGCCTCCCAGGCTCACACCTTTCTCCTGCCTCAGCCTCCATAGTAGCTGGGATTACAGGCACGTGCCACCACACTCAGATAATTTTTGTTTTTTTAGTAGCAACAGGGTTTCATCATGTTGGCCCGGTGGGTCTCAAACTCCGAACCTCAAATGATCCGCCTGCCTTGGCCTCCCATAGTGCTGGAATTACAGGCCTGAGCCACTGCACCCAGCCATTATTGCCTTTTAAGAATTTTGGGGCCGGGCGCGGTGGCTCAAGCCTGTAATCCCAGCACTTTGGGAGGCTGAGGCGGGTGGGTCACGAGGTCAAGAGATCGAGACCATCCTGGTCAACACGGTGAAACCCCGTCTCTACTAAAAATACAAAAAAGTAGCTGGGCATGGTGGTGCGTGCCTGTAATCCCAGCTACTCAGGAGGCTGAGGCAGGAGAATTGCCTGAACCCGGGAGGCGGAGGTTGCGGTGAGCCGAGATCGCGCCATTGCACTCCAGCCTGGGTAACAAGAGCGAAACTCCGTCTAAAAAAAAAAAAAAAAAAAAAAAAAAAAAAGAATTTTGGAAGAATGTCGTTGGGGTGGTGCAGTGACAGGGGAGACTTCAGAAGGGTGTTTCCCACGGCCCTGAGTTTGGAAAACAGCCATCGTGCTTTCTCTTTCTTGACAATTTCCCATGCAGATTGGACCAAACAAGCGAAGGGCTCTGAGTGGAGACGTGCCAGTCGAGCCTAATTCCTCAGCCCAGAGGGCCTGTGAGAGTTTCCTGCAGCAAGAGGCTGAGTGCACACAGGCCTCAAACACAGAATCAGAGCGGCTCTGTCTTCATGCTCCGTGTCTCTGGCCGTATTGACCAAGACTTAGGGATTTCCCCCAATGGCAGCTGGAAAAAAGCAATCGCAGTGAGAAGAGTTTAGAAATATGTCTGTTTACAGAGGTAACAGGGCTGTTTAATAACAAAGACGATCAAAGTAAGTTGGTAACAAAAACTTCCCAAAGGAAGATGGCAGGGCCGGGGACCAGGGAACGGAGGCAGGTCGGGACTCCCAGACTTTTCAGCTGCCTCTTCTGCTTCTGTGGCCCCGGCCCGAGGAGCAGTCCTGTGTCTCAGATCAACAGCTGCAAATACCTAGGAAGAGAGGAGTTCTGAGAAAACGGGGCTCGGCCGGGAAGGAGACGAGAGGCAGGGAGACAGCCAGTGTCATGCTGGCACCTCCCAGCAGCAGGACCGTCAGACCCACGCACTCCGAAATACAACAAGAACAGGAAAACAGCAGCCACAGCCACGGTCATGACCGGAACAACAGAGAAATCAGGGAGACGTGCGTTCCAGTTTGTCGGCGTGAGACTTTTATTAGCTTGCAACATTCCATTTAAGAGAAAGCAGAGTGTGGGACATGCAAAGCCACCCAAGGAAGCCTCTTAAACGCCCACCTTGTTCCAGGCGGAACGCGCATGCCCAGCTGTTCCCAGCTGGAAAAGACACGAGTGCAAATGGGGTCAGGAGCTCAGGCCTCTGGACAGACGAGCAAAGCCGAGGCCAGCAGGTGAGGGGGACTCGGCCGCAGTTGCAGTTGACTTGGGAAGAGAACTGGTTAGAAGAGACGATGGAAGGTAACTAGGGTGGACTCTCCTTAGGAAAAGGGGACAGGGCTGCATTCTGCGCTGGGGAATGGACCCTGGGCAGTGGTTTGGGGCTCAGCGATGAAGGACGGGCCACCGCTTCGGAAGACGGAATTAGCAGGACTCACATGAGGCCTGAGACCAGAGCCTCAGATCTTGCACTGGCAGCACACGGGGACACAGCAGCTGGACTGGCAGCAGCAGGGCTTGCAGCAGCTGGACTGGCAGCAGCAGGGCTTGCAGCAGCTGGACTGGCAGCAGGATGACCCACATCCTGAGGAGCAGCAACAGGGCATACAGCAACTGCACTGAGAGGAGCCGCAGCCCCCCTTGGACCCCCCACAGGAGCCACAGCTAGAGCAGGAACAGGCTGGCACACAGCAGCACACGGGCTTGCAGCAGCAGACAGGCACACAGCAGCTGGAGCCACAGCCCCCACAGCCGGAGCCACAGCCCCCACAGCCGGAGCCACAGCCTCCACAGCCAGAGCCACAGCCTCCAGAGCGGCCACAGCAGCCCATGTTTTTGGTGGGTTGAGGGTGGAGTAGGTGGAGGAGCAGGGGAGAGGGAGGGGCAGGTGTGGAGCCCCTGGAGTCTGGACCCCTTATATCCTCGGGTAGAGTTGCTCTGAGGCCTTGGTCGCTCCATGATCCCCAGCCCTTCCTGCTCATGTGATGGTTTGCTTGCTGGACTTCGGGTTCTCGCGGCCCTGCTCCAACATCCACCTGCTTCGGTTTCTAAATGCAGCCACTTCCTCCTCGGAACTGGACCTTGTGCTGAACCTGATCCCCTGCCCCATTTTCCTCGCGTGGCCAGTGGAGGATGAGTTTCTACAAAGATCGTTTCAGCTGCTTTCTTCTCATTTTTTTCTCTCCACCTATGGCATTATATTTTTCTTTGAAACTGTAATTTCTGTGTAAAGCAAATTTTTTAAAAACTATGCTTTCATCCATGTAATTAAAGAGGCTAAAGGAAGAAAAACGTGTTGCAGCCTGGCTAGATCTTACACACGGGTGCACAGCCCTCTGTGTCCCCTGCACCGGCTTCAGGTCATTGGGTGCTATTGCAATCACAGCTTCACATGGGGAGTATTATTATTTTAAAAATCTTCATGAGGCTAGAGGCAGGGGCTCATGCCTGTAAATCTCAGAACTTTGGGAGGCCAAGGCGGGCGGGTCACCTGAGGTTGGGAGTTGGAGGCCAGCCTGACCAACATGGTGAAACCCTGTCTCTTCTAAAAATACAAAAATTAGCCAGGCGTGGTAGCAGGTGCCTGTAATCCCAGCTACTCAAGAAGCTGAGGCAGGAGAATTGTTTGAATCCAAGAGGCAGAGGTTGCAAAGAGCTGAGATCAAGCCACTGCATTCCAGACTGGGTGACAGAGAGAGGCTCGGTCTCAAAAAAAAAAAAAAAAAAAAAAAATCTTGAATTTCATGGGTGGATGGGGAATCTCAATTAATCATTCTATTGTTAATCTCTTCATGAGGGTGAGTCTTTTACTCCAATATAAATTTTATTTTTCTTTGACTTCTCATTATTGCTTTAAAGTTGTTTGCACATTGAGAGAACAAATCCCTTGTGTTCAAACAGTCTACTTTGTCTTCCACAGGTGTGTACTGGGGTTTAACTTCTGAGGTCTTTAAAAGCCACTCTCACTTTGTCTTAGTTGTTATTTCATGTTCTGCCTCACCAACATTATTAGATGGCATAAAAAATAAATGTCTTTCAAGCTTTGGGTAAAAGGTCTTGTCTTACCTGGAAAAGGTGAGCGGGGGGTATGGGCTCCGTGATTCCCATGGCAATGGGGGCAGGGGACTGAGGGAAATCCACAGCCATGCTGAAAACTCCCCGCTCCGAGGGAACACACTGGGTCAGAGGACGCAGGTCTGCGTGGCAACAGACCACTGGGCGTGGAGAGGCTCGGGTGGGGACATCTCCTAAGACCTGATCGTGAGAGCAGAACCCAGGCCTCCTAATAAAACTGTCCCTCCACCAGCCCTGCCAGAGGCCGCACCAGACGCAAGCAGAGCGGCACACACCCCGGGTGCTCGCCAGAGCTCAGCAGCTCAGGAGTGTCCCATTTTGTTTCAACATAGGTGGAAGATCTAGACAGGAGTGACCAAACCCAGGAGGCGTAACCTGAGATTCTGTAACAGCTATGAAACAAACCTTAGGAAAGAGAAGAGGGAGCGAAAGGAGGTGGAAAGGAAGGAGACAAAGCTCTCTCTCTCTCTCTCTCTCTCTCTCTCTCTCTCTCTCTCTCTCTCTCTCATTTATTTATTTATTTTTTGAGATGGCGTTTCCCTCCGTTGCCCAGGCTGGAGTGCAATGGTGCAATCTCAGCTCACCACAACCTCCGCCGCCCATGTTCAAACAACTCTCCTGTCTCCACCTCTCAAGTAGCTGGGATTACAGGCACCCACCACCACACCCAGCTAATTTTGTATTTTTAGTAGAGACGGGGTTTCTGCATGTTGGTCAGGCTTGTCTCAAACTTCCAACCTCAGGTGATCCACCCGCCTCGGCCTCCCAAAGTGCTGGGATGACAGGCGTGAGCTACTGTGCCCGGTCAGAGACAAACCTTTCTAAGCGAACTCGTCATCCAGGAGTCAAAAGTAGGTGTCCCGCAAACAGTTGAGTTATGCAGCAAATAATTACAAATACAGCAGCAAATCATAAATACGGCATAGTAACTGTAATAGGGCTCTCAGGTGAGATGGTAAAATCATAGAGTAAGTTTTGTTTTATTTATTTTTTATTTTTCGAGATGGAATCTTACTCTGTTGCCCAGTCTGGAATGCAATGGGGTGACCTCGGCTCACTGCAACCTCCGCCTCCCAGATTCAAGTGATTCTCCTTCCTCAGCCTCCCAGGTAGCTGGGATTACAGGCATGCGCCACCACGCCCACTCACTTTTGCATTTTTGTACGGATTGGTTTTCACCATGTTGGCCGGGCTTGTCTCAAACTCCTGACCTCGAGTGGTCCGCCCACGTTGCCCTCCCACAGTGCAGGTGTGAGCCACCGTGCCCGGCCTGTAGAGTAAGTTTTAAAAGGAAGAGTGGGGGGCCTCAGGAAATAAATGAGCACCAGAAGCCATTACAGGTGGAGCTGGTGATTAGGAAGAGTGAGAGCAGAACGGAGGTGGCTGGAACGTGGATTGCTACCATCTGAGAAAGGATGAAGATGCTCGCGGTGTGGCTAAGCACAAAGCCGTGGGGTCAGCCAGAGAGAGGCTGGCGGATGAGGAGGACGGGAGAGGCCCAGCATCGGTGTGAGCGGTGGAGCCTTTAACAAACAGAGAAGAAAACAGATTCAAAAGCCAAAGAAATGTGCCATGACCTGAAGGAAGATCTACATTTTCGGCCCAAAGAGCATAACATGCTCCAGGAGGAAGTGAATGCAGAATGCGGAAGCCTCAGCCCCTGAAGGTTTGGTCACCGACCGCCACAGGCTGGCACAACGTTGCCACCACTGCAATGCCCGGCGGCCCACCCGCCACGGCTGTCTGGGCTGAGGAGGGTGCTCTGATCTAGCTGGTCCGGGATGTTCCTCAGAGAGGTCATAAACCCAAAGATAAGGGAACAATTTCTCTACAAAGTGGACCAAACCCGAACGTGGCCCAAGAGTATGGCGACAAAATGTACGTCACGCAGAAGACAGCAGGCAGAAAGCCCCCGCCACGGCAGAAATCTAAGACTACAGTGCCCTGGACCCCAGGAGAAAATCACACGGACCCCACGCAATCAGGGTTTATTCAAATTAAAGAAGTGGGGCAGGGACAGGCGAGGCAGGAAGCGCTGAAGCCCAGAGAATGAAGACGGGTGTTGAGCGATTCACTACGCAGGCCATGTCTAGTTACAGCCGAGCCCACCTGCTTTCCCAGAGACAAAAGTAACGCTTATGACATCTCTGCTCTCCACCCACCCTTTCCACAGCCTCCAGGTGGGTGGGGGTTAGAGCCACGATGGACCTGATGTCCAGGGCAGGGGTCCACAACCCCCAGGCTGCAGCCATGGCTGCACAGCAGGAGGTGAGTGCAGCCAGAAGCCACCTCAGCATCAGATTCTCGAAGGAGGGAGAATCCTACTGTGTACTGCACCTGCCAGGGATCTGGGGTGCGTGCTCCTCACGAGGATCTAACTGAGGCCTAACGATCTGAGATGGAACCGTTTCATCCTGACACCAGCCCCCACCCACCTCCCCCACCCCCCGGGGCTGTGGAAAATTTGTCTTCTACAAAACCAGTCCCTGGCACCAAAAGAGGCTGGGGGTTGCTGGCCTCGGGTGCACGGTGCTGCCGTCGCTGGGCTGCTTGCCTCCCTGGTGGGCGGAGATCCCGGCCTCTCCCCACGGGCCTGGGTCAGACCATCTCTACATCGCATCAGCGCCTTTTTTTTCTTTGCATTTTCCTTTTCATGGGCCCTTAACATCTTCTTTTCCTGCTTCTGTGGATTCGATGAAGTTTCTTTTTTCCCTTCTCCTGTTTTTCTCCCGATCGGCACTGATGTTTTTATTTCTACTTTTCTCCAGTGGTAACCGAACATTTTAACACTGTCTGAGATCAGCCGCCGTCTTCCCCGGGTCCCACACAGAGGCGGGTGCTCCCCTCAGGCCAGTGTCTCCTGCGCTTCAGATCCGCCTCTTCCCCTACCCACAGCCAGCCCCCAGCACCTGCCCCAGCATTTCCTCTTTAGATAGCACATTTACCTTCATGAGAACCTCATACCTCCTTCGGGAGTTTATCAGGTTAAAGAAGACACTCTGCACCTCAGCGCATCGTCAGGGATGGCAGAGCTAATGGCTGCACCTGCTGAGATGGATGTGGGAATTCTTCTCTCCTTCAAGGCACTTCTGTAATGAGTTACAGTGATTCATTTCCTGATGGTGAGCCATCTTAACACTCTTGGAATAAACCCTACTTATGACTTGCCATTTTTTTTTTTTTTTTTTTTTTTTGAGATGGAGTCTCGCTCTGTCTCCCAGGCTGGAGTGCAGTGGTGTGATCTTGGCTCACTGCGACCTCTGCCTCCTGGGTTCAAGCAATTCTCCTTCCTCGGCTTCTTGAATAGTTGAGACTACAGGTGTGTGCCACCATGCCCAGCTAATTTTTGTATTTTTAGTAGAGACGGGATTTCACCATGTTGGACAGGCTGGTCTTGAACTCCTGACGTCGTGATCCACCTACATGTTTTAATAATCGTGTTGGATTCTTCTAATATTTGATTTCGAAATTGTGTGTATTTGTTAGTAATAAAATGAAGTTATAATTTTCTTTTGTTTTACTGGCCTTACCGTTTTTTTTTTTTTTTTTTTTTTTTTTTTTTGAGACAGTCACATCCTGACACCCAGGCTGAGTGCAGTGGTGCAATCATAGCTCCCTGTAGCCTTGACCTGCTGGACTCAAGCAATCCTCTCACCTCAGCCTCCCAGTAGCTGGGGCTACAGGGGTGCACTAGCATGCACAGCTAATTTTTGTACTTTTTGGAGCGATGAAGTCTCACTATGTTACCTAGGCTGGTTTCGAACTCCTGAGCTCAGGTGATCCTCCTACCCCAACTTCCCAAAACGCTGGGATTGCAGATGTGAGCCACGGCACACAGCCCTTCTCATTCTTCTCTGTCAAGCTCCAAATGTCCCTGGGTGGTTCTGGCGGGAGGTCTGGGGCTGCATCCCCTGAAGGCTCAGCCGGTGTTGGTCTCACTTCCAGGATGGCATATGCCGTGGCTTGTGGGTGGGAGGCCTCAGCTTCTCACCTGCAGGCCTCTCCACAGAGCTGCTGCTGGCACAGCATCTGGCTTCGCCCGGAAGGAGTAGTACAGAGAAAGAGAGAGAGAGAGAGAGAGAGAGAGAGAGAGAGAGAGAGAGAGCAGGTGTTGCACTACCCTCCACGCCCCAGCCTCCAAGCCCGTGCCATCTGTGCTGCCTGACGTCTTCGTCACGAGAGACACACTGTGCTTCTGGTCTTCTCCTTGTTGCTTCCACTGCAATTCCTTCTGCTGGAGCCTTCCCCACAGCATGGCATCAGTCAGCCCTTTCCCGTCTCAGGAAAAAGCGCCCCTGAGCCTTCCTCTCATCTGAGTGTGGCTTCAGGTGGTAGAGGAGTGAAAATCTGTGGGGCCAGACTCCCCGTTTCAGGAGAAGAAACCCTTCCAGTGCCCCCTTTTCTGTCGGGTTCTTGATCTGGAATCCACAGATGCAGGTGGACATCAGGTCCTGTCTGGAGGCTGCACAGTTTTATGTAAAGTTGTGAGTTTTTGTGCATGTGTGTAGACTTGTTTAAGGGGCGGCTCTGCAGAGTTCCACAGAGGAATCTATAAACCCAAAGTAAAGAGTGGGTCTTCAGAGGTGGTTCCTAATGGGGGGCACAGGAGAAAATATTATAATATGTTTATGTCTGTTTTAAGGTGAAAACATTAAAATTAACCAAAATTAAAATAACACCTGACTAGACAGGAGCATATACACCTTACATAACACACATTCCAGGGGCATTTGCACAAAAGTGGCTTATTCATGGGGTGCCCCATGGGACAAGGTGGAGGCCACTGCTGTGTGGATAGTTCATCAGAGCATTTTAGGAGGCCCTCTGAGGATCCTCTGCGCCCAACCCAGCCAGTGAACCCGAAGGTCATCAATGGACCACAAAGAACAAAGGCCCATAAAAGTGAAGATGTCCCCAAAGTAAATAAAAGTCCTCTTGTACCCGAGAGAAGGTACAAGGATGCCACTAAGAGTCAGCACAGGTGTTGGTCAATTACTTCAGAGGCCGGATACAAATCTGTTGCATCCTGGACGCAAATGTGTCTGTTGCCTCTGTTCCGGGGCTGGAGGCTGCTGCCTCTGGCTCTCTCCTGATGAGTTTTCTCTTCCTCCCTGAGATACAGTCCCCGACCCCAGAACGGAGGGGCGCTCCAGCACATGCAGGAAGCGTCGCTGGGTGCCAGCCGGTGTCTACACCGTGGCCTGAGGCCTGGCTGGCTGGGCTCAGGGCACTCACAGGTATCATTGCCACTCAGGCAAATGGCCATCTGGTTCCCTGCTCTCCACGGGCTTTCTTTAGCATCTAATGGGCCTGCACAGAATGCTGGTGCTGCTTCCCAGGCTGAGCCCCGGCCCCGGAGCAGGTGGGCACGAGGCAGGGCATCCTCCTCCCCTCCGTGTCTCTGGAGGGGCCTGTGCCATCGGTCTGTGCCACCGTCCAGGAGCCCCTGGGCCGGCCACGCCGTGGGACACCCGCTCCACAGCGACGCTGTGTGGCTGCAGGAGGAACAGCTGCGGGAGACGCTGAGCTCCGGGTCCTGACCCAGCACAGCAGTGTCTGCCCGTGGCAAGCTTGGGTTCGCTTACTCGAAAGGCAGCCTCCGACTGTTGGAAATCCAGGTTCCAGCGGGCATCCTGCACTTGCTGTGTCCACTCTGCCACCTGGCGGTCTGAAAGGCCTGGAAGAGACCCCGGTTACCCCAGGAGCACACTTTCCATGGGAAGCACGCAGCAAGCTCCAGGCTAAGCACTGAAGATCCCTCTCGGTCAGCCTTCCACGTCTTCCAACCAAGACTTACGCCGGAAAGGACGCTGCTGGCCTGAGGGCTGAAGCCCCATGTCCCAGGATCTTTGGAAGCAGCCCCCAGGCCAGGAGCTGCTGTGGACCGCGGGGGTGCAGGGTCCAGGCATGTCCTAAGCAAGACACGTGGCTCCCGCAGTGGACCCCGCCCGGGAGCAAGCCAGGAGCCCTGGGCTCAAAATCACCCTCAGCAAGACCAAGGTGTCTGAGCGAGGCCCTGCCTGATCATCGCTTCCTCTTCGTCACCTGGAAAGGGGAACTCACCTCGGGACACCTGCTGGTGATTACTGAGGAGCAGCTTCCATCACAGACCTGACACAGGAGTTATTTATAAAATGCAGAGCAGAAAGGAATACCAGGGCCAGGGGCACAAGAAGGAACCAGGAAGTGACTGTGTACCCAGCCTCACACCTGACCCTGGACAGGGATATAAAAGGCCCGGGCTCGGGGAGCTCCACACTGCCCCTCCCTCTCACCTGCTGCACCCTCAATCCACCAGAAACATGGGCTGCTGTGGCTGCTCTGGAGGCTGTGGCTCCGGCTGTGGGGGCTGTGGCTCCAGCTGCTGTGTGCCCATCTGCTGCTGCAAGCCTGTGTGCTGCTGTGTGCCAGCCTGTTCCTGCACCAGCTGTGGCTCCTGTGGGGGTTCTAAGGGGGGCTGTGGCTCCTGTGGGGGCTCCAAGGGGGGCTGTGGCTCTTGTGGCTGCTGCCAGTCCAGCTGCTGCAAGCCCTGCTGCTCCTCAGGCTGTGGGTCCTCCTGCTGCCAGTCCAGCTGCTGCAAGCCCTGCTGCTCCTCAGGCTGTGGGTCCTCCTGCTGCCAGTCCAGCTGCTGCAAGCCCTGCTGCTCCTCAGGCTGTGGGTCCTCCTGCTGCCAGTCCAGCTGCTGCAAGCCCTGCTGCTCCTCAGGCTGTGGGTCCTCCTGCTGCCAGTCCAGCTGCTGCAAGCCCTGCTGCTCCTCAGGCTGTGGGTCCTCCTGCTGCCAGTCCAGCTGCTGCAAGCCCTGCTGCTCCTCAGGCTGTGGGTCCTCCTGCTGCCAGTCCAGCTGCTGTGGCCCCGTGTGCTGCCAGTGCAAGATCTGAGGCTCTGGCCGCAGACTGCAGGTGGCTGACTGGGAGGGCCAGGCTGCCCAGCTTCCTTGCTCTGGGCTCTCTGGTGCCCACTGTCTCCACGTTGTCCTTCCTGTCTTCATCCACTCCGCACCAGAGCTCCTGAAATGGACTGGGTGTCCCTTCTGGCTCAGTGCCCATGACTTCTCCTGAACTTCCTCTCCTTGCTCCTCACTCATTTAAGATCCAAAGTGGCCCCCGGAGGCCCCAGAGGCGGCTAGACCCCTTAGAGCCTGACAGCTGCCCCTTCCTCCAGGCGTGTGGTCAGCCCTAATCCCTCTGGCTCTCTGTCTATCCAGACTGAATCCCGACCCTCTAAATAAACAAAGTCTCTCAGCGCAAAGCTCACCGTCCTGCGGTCTCTCCTTCCCACCTCTCTCTAGTTGTTCCTGCCCCTCCCCAGGCCTGTTCCCGCGTCTCTCCCCTCGGCTCCTCGCGTGCTGCGGTCTGAGTCTCCATGCACAGAACGCACGGCGACTGCTTTCTGCCCTGGGCCCCTTGTGCTGGGCTCTGGAGGTGAAAGAGCCCAGTAAACCCAAGCTCACAGTCTGGTGTGAGGGGACAGGGGGGAGGGCGGTGGTGTGGGCTGCGGAGGACTTCCCCTGGACGTGGAATGGCCGTCCCACAGCGGGGAGGGAAGCTCAGGGCCAGGCCTCCTCAGCGGAAGGATGAGGAAGGGTCTACGTGCTGGGCCGTGTGGCACCTCAGGCCCTCAGAAGCCCCTGTGCGTGCGGGAGCCAGACGTGGCGACGCGGGGAGCTTGGGTTTACCTGGAATGTTCCGGGCCGTGAAAAAGCAGACCTGGGAAGGCATGGCCGCACAGGACCCGGCCGCGGGCCACAGGTCCGAAGGCAGTCGGGAGTGGAATAGCCATCCGGGCTGATCCCCCGGCCCCAAATTCCAGTGTTGGGGAGCCCTAATCCCCAGTGCCTCAGAAGGCAACCTTGTCTGAAAACAAGCCTTCATTCACTTTTGTTTTGGGCTGAGGGGTGCACACGCAGGTTGACATATAGGTAAATGGCATGTCATGGAGATCTGAGGCATAGATTATTTCATCAGCTGGGTAATCAGCATAAGACCCAATGGCTCGTTTTCTGATGCTCACCGTCCTCTGCCTCCACCCTCTAGGGGCCACTATGCCTGTTGTCCTCCTGTGTTCAAATGTACTCAATGCTCAGGTCTATCACTGAGAACATGTGATATTTGATTTTCTGTTCCCATGTTAGTTTGTTAAGGATAATGGCCTCCAGCTCCATCCACATCTCTGCAAAGGACATGATCTCATTTTTTATGGCTGCATAGTATTCCATGGCCTATATGTAGCATCTTTTCTTTATCCAGTCTATCATTGATGGGCATTAGAAAATTACATGAAGATGAAGGCAGAGGTCAGGGTGATGCTTCCACAAGTTAGAGAGGACCAAGGGTTACCAGCAACCCCCAGAAGCTGGGCGAGACCAGAGCAGAGGCTCCCTCGAAGCCCTTGACGGAAGCAGTCCTGCCCAGCCCTGCACCTCAGACTTCTGGCCCTCAGGATTGGGAGAGGGACGTTCCTGTCACCTGTGTTCCTTTGTTATGGCTGCCCCAGAAAGCATGTACAGGCAGTGGCTCCGTCAGAGCAGGGAAAGGCAGTCAGGGGATCTAGAGGGAAAATCAGAGCCTATGTCCTCAAGGGCAGCTCTGGGGGCTGGACCTCCTGGAAGGATCCCAGCTGTCCACAGTGCTGGCCCCTGGGGATCTCAGGTTTCCGTGCTGTCCTGGAACCCTGAGCTCCGGTGCACCTAATGTGTGGTCCAGGGACAGGGACCCGCCTCGCTGCCACCCCTGCCACAGCCACCTCAAGGAGTCCGCAGGCTGGTGGCAACCCTGAGGTGCACACGACAGGGCTGTCCCGAGGGCAGTGTGCACCCGTGTGCGTGTAGGGCCCTGGGCACGGCGGCCACACAGGTTCTTGGCGTCCTGAACAAGGAATTGGACAAAATGCACAAACCAAGCGAAGAAAGCAAAAGCAGGGATTCGCTGAGAACCAAAGTGCACGCCGCGGCGCAGGGGGCAGCCAGGTGGGGGCTCAAGGGTCCTGTTACAGTTCCTGTGAGTTTCAATACCCTCTACCTGAGGCACGCCCTATGTAAATGAGGAGAATGAAGTCAGGTTAGAAAGTCATTTCCTCGGCGTGCGGAAAGGACACGTCCTGTCACAGCCGAAGTGTGAATGGGTCTTATGCTCCCTGTCTCCAGACTGCGTTTTCCGGCCTCAGCCCCGTGGCTGCTTCGTGGGCACGCAGCTTCCTCCCGCAGACACACAGGGCCCCGCACTTGGAAGGCTGCCTGCCTTGCCGCCACTATCTTGAAATTCTCAGTCACCGTATCTTTCAGCGTGAGTTTTGTGGGCGAATCTGGTGGCACGGGGAGTGTGCACACGACTGCTGCTCGGGGGGCAGTGCGCACGCGTGTGAAAATGAAATTTCTAGAGTACACATTTTGATGACCTAATAAATGAACTTGCAGAAAAGTGAATTAGAAACATTGTAAAGATATCCCATTACTAAAATATTATTATTTACTATACTATACAAAATTATGAATCCAAAACTTACTATTATTTTGAGACAGAGTCTTGCTCTGTCGCTCAGGCTGGATGGCATGATGTTGGCTCACTGCAACCTCCGCCTCCCAGGTTCAAGCAATTCTCCTGCCTCAGCCTCCCAAGTAGCTGGGATTACAGGCACGAGCCTCCATATCTGGCTAATTTTTGCATTTTTAGTAGAGACAGAGTTTCACCATGTCGGTCAGGCTGGTCTTGAACTCCTGACCTTGTGATCCACCCACCTCGGCCTCCCAAGGTGCTGGGATTATAGGCGTGAGCCACTTCGTCTGGCCGTCAAAAATTATTATGATTTTGCAGTTTGTAAGTTGATACCGTTTCTTGGCACCACCACTGCCCCTATTCATTGTATCAGTGATAAAATACTTCCTAAAGGGGAAAGCTTTTGGTGCGATTTTTTGCTGCCTTTGAACCAGGAGACTCACCATTTCTGCGTCTGGCCCATCTCCCCTCCCCCAGTGCCCTGCTCCTCAGACCACCCTCAGTCCTGACCCTGCCACGTTCTCACCCCAGACCCTGGGCTGGGCTTTGCCACAGGCTGCTCACAGCAAACAAGAGATGGCAGATCAGACCCGGCCTCAGATTCCCACAATGATGCATCGTGGCATGAAGGGTGGACATCGAGAATGCACATGTGCCTCATGCTGTAAATGATACCAGGCATCCGTGAGGCCGGGGCGGTGGCTCACGCCTGCAATCCCAACACTTTGAGAGGCTGAGGCGGGCGGATCACTTGAGGTCAGGAGTTCCAGACCAGCCTAACCAACATGGTGAAACCCCATCTCTACTAAATATACAAAAATTAGCAGGGCGTGGTGATGGGTGCCCGTAATCCCAGCTACTCGGGAGACTGAGGCAAGGAGAATCGCTTGAACCTGGGAGGTGGAGGTTGCAGTGAGCTCTGGACTCCAGCTTGGGCGTCTCAAGAAAAGCAACAATAACAAACAGGCAAACCAGCAAACACAACCCTCTCCACGGTCAGGACAGACAGGAGGGAGGGCGGCACTGCTTGCTCCATGTTGCTGAAAAGGTACCAACAAACCCTCGATGCCTGGCACCGTCACAATAGAACAGCGGCAGCCTGGAGAAGCCCTCCACGCAGCGTACACACGGGCACACCCAGAGTTACGTTTTCCTGCAAATGTGCGTGTTCATAGCTAAAGCGAAATCGCATCTCTGTTCAGCACCCCGCCAGGAGCAGGGAGGTGCTTGCTCTCTAAGACGATGGTTTTACAGTAAGGATTTCAGCCTCCACCTGGAGAGCTTCAGAGGCCTGAGCTAAGGGCCACCCTGAGAAGGGGGCTCGGGTCACCCCACCCCTCTAAACCCCCCATCTCCTCCAGCTAGGCCTCTGCCTCGAGCCCCAGGCCTTGTTTGGACCAAACGGTTCCACCACCTCTGCCTCTTCCAAAGGCTCATTCCTGAGCTGGAAAGAGGGAGGTGAGGAAATTCCTCGCAGAAGAGGAGCCGTCAGCCATTACCTTGGGCGTCGTGTGCGCGAGAGACAGAACCTTTTGTCCCCTTGATTTGAAATGCACTAAACACAGATTTTCTAAGTGTCCAAAGTTTGCTATAAACGGAAGAACAAGGAATAAGAGTGTGAAGCGTAGCTTGTACCCCAATATGCTTTTGGCTTCTTGGGTTTGCGCCCTCTCCGTCAGAGCCTGCACCCAGGGAGGTCACGGTCCCCGTGTGAGCCCCACACACCTGGACAGCCCCACACACCCAGCCATGTTTCTTTGTCCCTAAACACAGACGTTTATGTTCCCCAGCACCTGTGTAAACCAGCAGCTCCCTTTTTCCGTCTCCTTGTTTGCGTTCCTTCATGGGACATGCCACCAGACAGATGCCACTTCCCTGTCCCCATCCATCATCAGAAGGTTGGAGCCTGGAGAACAGGTGTCCCTGGTTTTGATCGTTGTTCTATTCTCTGGTTCACCGACCCTGACCGGCACGTAGTGTAAACACGGTAAATATTTGCCAAATGCGTGCAGGGATCCCAGTAATCCTGAGCCGCTCTGGGCAGAGAGGCTTAGAGTGTCACCTTTCCCTGCCGGGTTTCAGGTAAGAGCCGGCTTGGCTCAGCAGGGCCACCAGGGTGTGCTGTGGCCAGGCAAGACGTCGGGGAAGCCACAGGCCATGGGTTGTGGCTCCTGGAGCCAGAAGGGGACACAAGGCTCCTGCTGCCTAGCCCACTCCCACCGGGGGTGCAGGTGACAGCCCTGGCGTCCCAGCCTCCGAAGATTGAGTGGCTGTCACTGGCTTTAGGATAAAAGTCAAGCGTGGCCCTTAGAAACACCCAGACATGGTAGAAGTGTGTGAACTGGACATGAGGCACATTTGCTTTTGCGTTTTGCTTTGGAACCAGGAGCAGGGCAAGGACAAAGGGCGTGAGCCTCACGGGGGCTCTGGCTCGGGGTGTCTGGAACTCGGGGAGCAGAGGAGGGCTGCAGGGGGAAGACGGCGTCGGGAGAAACGTCTCGGGGGGTGCTGTCCTTAGTCCTGTGCCCGGGGCGGGCGGCTTTCATCTCGCACAGTGCACCCCCAGCTCTGGCTCCCCATGCAGTGCCCAGTGCAGCCCTGGCATCCCGCCGAGCTCTCCCACAGGAGCGGGAGTTTCAGGGAAGGGGCTTCACGGACCTTCACCCACTGTGCGTCTCTCTCTGGACCTGCCGCTTGGGCCCCACGTGTCTTCTTAACCAGAGCTGTTTCTCAGCTCCTTGGCCCTCTGCT